GATGGATGGATGGATGGATGGATGGATGGATGGATGGATGTTTTATATGAGGTTTCCAACAAATCTTATTTTGAATCTTATTTTAAACATAACTTTTACTTTTATTTTTGTTACATTCAGTACATAAAAATGATACTTTTACTACTTTACTTGCAAATTTAACACCTTGGTTATACTTTACAAATTAAAAAAAACATGACTGGAACTCATTATGAATGGAGTTGTTTATACACTCTAAAATATGATGTGTTGAATTTACTTAACTGAGTTATGTCAACTGGTTCCATTAAACCAAGTTAAGTAAATGTAAATAAAATTACTGAACTTGGTTTGGTGCAACCAGTTTGGTTACGTAAATTCAACACTTCATTTATTAGAGTGTGTGTAAAAGTACTTTTACTTTCCCAATTATTGTGATCAGTTTTATAATTTTTACTTAAGTACTTTTCTTATGAGTGAAAGAAGTTTTGACTAAACTTTTCTGTTAAGGTATTTTTGCTTTTCCTTGGTTATTTTTTTAGGTACTTTACATTTACCAGCGTGGTGGCTCAGTGGTTAGCACTGATGCCTCACAGCAAGCAGGTTCTGGGTTCGATCCCTGATTCGGACCTGGGGTCTTTCTTTGCAGATTTTGCACGTTCTCGTGCTTGCGAGGGTTTTTCTCTGGGTGCTCCGGTTTCCTCCACAGTAACACAACATGTAAATAACAGGTACAGGCTCAGATCACCCTTGCAGAAGAGATCTGCAATCTCAATGGGATTTGCTTGGTTAAAAATAAAATATACCACTGGTTAACAATATAGCTCATGAACCAGTTAACGGATTTAAACAAACTTGCAGAATAATTCTACAACTGATGAACTTTTAGAATTGATTACACTCAAGATTACTGCCACAATTAAGCAACCTTGTAAGTCAGCAATTTGTCCAGTAGTTGTGACTGATCTCAAAGTGATCCTGTTTTTTTTTTTATTTAACAAACTGAACAATATTCTTTATTACAAGTTTACCATCAATTATTGGAGTCAGTTTATCAGTCTGTTTGTTTTTGTTCTTTGTTAGCAAAATATTTCGTGAATTTCTGGATGAAGTAATACATTGTGATGAGGACTAAATTCCTGCTTAAAAACTACAAACAATGTTCAGACAAAAATATGGTAAGTGATAAACCAGGATTTACTGCAATTGCAAGACACACATCATGTCACACAGGGCAGTGGTACAAAATGTGTGCACCGAGGCAGTTTCAAATACACACATTTTTACAGTAAACAGACAAACTGGGCCAAGGAGAGAATGGTGTTTGTTAAACAGCAACAAGACTGATTACATCTAAACAGATATTGTCCTGATCTTAAAACACTTTGTCCAAGAGAAAACAGAAGTTAAAGAGTAAAATCATAAAACATAATGATATTTTAAGGTAAGTAAAAGAGGTCACTGACTCTTGGACTGAGAAGAAATGTAGGACTTTAAAGGATGATTT